GATGCCTCTATATGGCTTAGCTCTGGAATATCGAGCGGGCTACAGTGCACGGACCGTTTGTAATAAATTAAGGTGCCTCCCAAACGGTTTGCTAACCGGTCGTGGCGGACTATGTTTTAGTTTGCGATTCTGGGATCGCGTACACTAGGTTTTAAGAATGTCTCTTGCACTAGAAAAATATCTATGTTATAATCGCGAAGGAATTCCGCGATTTCGTCCCTTTGACCCTTTATGCCGTTTGCGTTGAAATACGAAACAACCAGAGCCCGAGGTTTAGTTCTACCTGCGGTTGTACTTCCCGTTAAAGATTTTTAAGAGTTCTAACTAACGACGCGGCGGAGCGCGGTTTTATTGCGCGGTCTATTAAGTTTATGGTTGGCTTGTAAATGCCCAGAGGGCTTCTACAAGCATTTTATGTTCGCTAATGGCTTTAAATCGAGCGTTGCCAGATGTGGCGGCCGCTATTTTAGCGGACAATACGGCGAGTTCTTGTCTATTAATGCGGTCTAATAAGGCGCAGATGTTGGCAATTTGGGCGAACGGGTCGTCCTTGTTTTCGGCGAAAACCGACGGTGTCGACTGCACCTGCGGCGTCGGCGCCGTTTGATAGGCGGGAGCGATTGGTCGTGAGGCGACCGGGGGCGCAACTACCTGCGCGGCCACCTGGGGTTTCGCCCAGGCGTTTACGACGGGTACGGGCGCGGGAACGCATTTCACGGGCGCGGGTTTGGTCAAAGTAGATTTCGCGGGAGCTTTTCTCGCGGGAGTTTTTGGGGCCTTAGCGCAGCCCCTGTAGCTAGCCGGGTGGTCGGTGGTATGACAGTTAACGCAGTCCGGTGGATCTGCGCAATCTTTTGGCCGCTTACAATCGGGCGTGCCGTGGTCACCGGTGCATTTGACGCACCTAGGGTGAGCGAAACAATTATTAGCCGTGTGGCCATAGTGTTGGCAGTTGTGGCACTGCGCCTCAACTCCCGATCTTCGCGGGGGCTCGATCACGAGGTCGCTGAGCCCACAGACCCTCTTCAGGTTGAAGATGACCTTACTTTCCGGGGTAGGGTCAAGTTCAACCATCACCATGTCCATAGGGACACGGGTTCTAGGGTGCCTGAGGCGGCGTACGTTATGCACAGGGTATCCCTGAGTGCGGATGTCGGTCTTCGCCTTGTCGACATCCGACTCTTTGGGGACGCCCTTGATTACTACCCGAAGTTTTCTTTCTTCGGGCAAAGAGTAGGTGTGGAAACCTATCTTGTTTTCGCGCAAGTACTTAGTTACGCGACGGAAGTCGTCCGTAATGTCAAGGTATACGCGGATACCCATATGCGTGTTTTTCGACCGGGGGTCGCGGATATTGTGGCGTTCAAACCACGAACAAATTTGGTGCCACTTAGCCTTCTCCTGAATGATGATGGGTGGAGGAGGCTTTATTTTTCGCTCGGAGGCGAATTCGGGCATCGGTTTAGCCGCCGCGGCCGCCTTTTTAGCGGGCGTCGCGGTGGGACGGATCGTTGAGGCGGCCTCGCATTCGGGGTCGCTGTCGGAAGCGGGGCGTTTTTTGCCCTTTTTACGTGATTTAACGACGGTGAAGCCGTCGGCGTTCGCGTTTTCAGCGGGGGTCATTTCGACCTCCATGTCCGATCCGCCGTCCGATTGTGAGTCGGGTACGACGGAGCGAAAAGAGGTCGGGTTTGGTTGCGCGGAAGGCGCTACGGGCGAGTTCGCGTTAGCGGATGCCGACGCGACGGGAGCTTCTAAGGTCGCGGCGGGCGACGGGGTAACGGGCGTAGACGGTGCGGGCAATGTCGGCGACGCGAATTCAGCTAATTGCCTATGCTCGGCTTTATAAGCGAGAAAACGTTCCCACATAGCGGGGCATTCTTTGCGTACGAACTCCTCGAAAAGGGAGCCCATCGCGACGTTAGTGCCTTTGGGGCTTGTAGCCCCGCCGGCGTGTGTGAGCTAAATAAGCCTCCCCATCTTGCGGCAGGGAGGAGTGTGCCTAGAAATAACAACAAATTTGCCTGCGCTTTAGGTGCGCTAGGATGGGTACCTAGCTGTCGCCTATTGCAACAAGCACACAGTTAATAAATGAAACAATGCCGCCTCTGAGGCGAGAAGTGTGTGTAGGATTCTACTTACAAACAGGAACCTGCCTACGAGCACAACACTACACTAACACTAAACTACTGCACTATTTGCACAAGATTGAAATTGCAACCGAGGTTGTGAGTGGCGTCTAATTCGGGTGGCATGTGCCCTCCGTCTTAGAGAGACGTCCGTTCCGTACGAGAGCACGAAGCGGAATGTCATAAGTTCTGTCACATATTTATTGTGAAATGATTGCCACATGTTTGCTTTTACGGTAACCAGTTATATACCAAAAGGAATTTACTAAAACTTAGATTCTTATTCTAACTAAGCTAAATCAAAACGACCCCCGCAATTTTGAATACAAGCTTTAAACTTGCACGAACGAAGTCCATATAAATGTTTGCGGCTACAGTTCGCGTGCTTTTCACTCTATGAGCTGGCGCAGAATTTTGTCGGAATACCCATTCTTTGTTATTGAACAAGGTATTAGAAAAAGGTACCACAAGGTCTGTGAGAACTGTATTTTAATACAGAACTACATTCATTTCCACGACTTTCTCACCTCAGTTACGCAAACGTGTAATACGTTTGCGTTTACACTGCGTTTGCGTTTATTCTGTTGTAATGACAAGTTCCTTGAGTTTTTTAATTAAAGTACTTTAAAGTGCTAATATTCACGAATATAAAACACCCAAAATGATTGGCGTACACTAAATTGCTACTATACCGATTTAAATAGAGAAATTGGCCATTTCATTTATAATAAACTTAATTTTTAGAGTTAGTTTACTAGATAAAACTCAAAATATGTAGGTAAGTTGTCGAACTCCATTTTATTTTCGCTGTTTGTCGACTAATATGACAGTATTTAGCATAATACAGCATGCTATTATTGCGCACATGATATGTCGGATGAATGACGTATTTTAGGCATCTTTTTTATATGAAAAGCTGCCATACGAGCAGGCGATTCCCCTGAATGTTAATGGTACCGTCACCTATCGATAGCTAACGCCTACGGGCTTGTTGATGCGTTGAAAAACCTATAAAAGGTCGGCTCCTTCTTATCTGATTTGTGGAGGTTTCAACATATATGAAAATAATTAATTGAGATGAATAATATGATAGTCTCATTTAGAAAATTGGCCTACCTCTCTCGCTTGTACTTTTCATTCGACACTAAGGAAAAATACTGTGGTAGGGCCATGCAATAGTCTACGATATTGCAGGAATGTGGAGGTCCGTCCGGGGAATCACCACGACCTCACAGAAGACCCGCGTAAAGTGGAAGTGCTATACTTCTACGTTTCGTCAGATGAGGGAGGTAACCGGGGCCCACTTTATCAAAAAGTGGCAAAGCTTCTTCAACCCTGTGGGTGCTAGTTTAAATTGTCAATGTACATTTATTTTCACTTGCAAGTGTTTTTAATTGATAGAGAAGTGGAACCGAGAACTAAATTAGTTAAAATCGTCGGAAACGGGACACATTTTACGAAAATAAAGAACATAAATCTTGAAAATTTACATAAAAGAAATCCGCCATAACTTTCGAGTAGTAAAACATTAATTTATTGCAAATAATTTAAGAGGTAATTCACAATAAAATTTGTAGAAAAAGTACGAAAAGATTGTCGCTGCTGTGAGAATCGAACGCACGAGAAAAAAAATTGAATTAGGTAATTCACATGTTTACTTTGTTGGAGGATAAATGCATTACTTAACGAGTACGCAATTTTAAAGAGCAAAATTTTAAATATTACCGCTTACAAATCAAATCAATTCATAAACAACTACACCATATTATTGAAAAAATACTACTAACGTACTCAGGAACGCTTATGAATAAGAGTTGTCAGTTAAGAGCCGTCTCAAAAACACTGGTTATACCATGGGGGCCAATACTCTTAGTAATAGGCCCGTAAAAATAGAATTTAACTTTGCACTAAATCATAGACCCGGTTTATGTTTTATTTAAGGTTAAGGATCAGTGCAAATGTGCGGGAATTGCAGGTGGCTCAGGCTGTCTGAGGGGTAGGCCTATGTTCAGCGGTGGATTCAAACGATGACGATGAAGTGATTCTAAACCTCATAAAAAACAAAAATCAGATCGGTAGTTTATTGGAAAGTATTCAAAAAAAGAAACGCCTATTTTTACTGGCCAATGTGAAGACGGTAAAGATATTTGTTCATACAATTGTTATTTACATTGAAATAAAAATTATAATATTTTATAATGAAGTTGCTATACACTAGTTATTGTCAATTATTTTCAGACGCAAGCAACAGGCACACAATTGTTACTCTTTTTATGTAGGCTTTATTAGATACATAGATTTTCCATTTTTTAAGTCATATAATTTTCATAAGTTATTTACGGTTACTTATTAAAACATTTTTGGGAACACGTTGTGCACGAAAAGCTTTAGATACTTCGCTTGGTTTGGAGGAAGATAACAGCAAAAAATCCTTAACATGTCTGATGAACGATTAAAGTTCAGTTAAATATTAACTACTACCGTAGTTCCCATTCCGAAATTACAATTTTGAAATGGATATTGGCTTGAATCGCTTGAAGACAGGTTCTCGCAGAGTATTGATTGCATTGCATTGGGAAACAAATTTTGACATTTGTTACAGTAATTTCCAAGAAAACTAAAAATATTACTTATAAAGCCTGGAATGTATCGATAATCAATTTTAAGTAAAAAAAAATTAAAGTTATAAATAAATATATCGTATTTTATATATAGCATTTTGTACATTCTTTATTTTCCCATTTTCGAAATAACGAATAATTCTTTTTAAAACTTGATGAAATCCGTAAAAATTTTTCCATGAACAAAGTTGACTTACAAGCTTTATTGTATACTAAACGTTACAAAATGTATACTGTATACCGGTGGTCACGCAATCAGGACGGCCAACGGCACCAGTAGCCCGACGAAGACCGCGGCCATTGACGCTATTTTGTATTTGTGCTCCCTCGCCTTCACGTTCAAATACGCCTCCAGCCGAAGTAGACCGTTCACGTCGTAGTTGAGACGCTCAAACTCCCTCAGTTGGCTCACGAAGCCCGGGTTGGGGTTGATGAACCTCCTTCGACTGCGCACGTAGGAGAAAGCCTCCTCGAAGCGCAGTTTGTACTTCTCCATGATGTACGCGATGACGAGCGTGGCGGAGCGCGAAACACCGAAGTGGCAGTGAACGAGGACATTGCCCCTTTTGATTCCATCGTCGATGAAAGCGTTGGCCATAGGGAAGTAGGGCAAAAGGTTGGTGTCGGGCGAGTCGTATGCCCTGATGAACAGCGTGACTATGTGGGGATCTGGGAAGGCCGACTTTGGTATCTTATGAGTCTCGACGGTGAGCACGTGCGTGATGTTAAGGCACCTGATGACGCTTGCGTCAACCGCCGCCCTAGCATTGCTCAGATATAGCCCCGGAACTATTTGGCTGTAACAGGACTGTGTACAAAGGTCTATCTTCTCGTAAATGACCTTCCTAGACCATGTTTTCAAGCCGTTGAAGGCGACAACGGGGCTAGGTATGCTGAGAAATGCGGCGATGAAGGCACTTCTCACCATCACCATGAAGAGCACCCTGACACTGAAGCTAAAAATCTTTTTCTTGATTACATGATTTCTTTTTTAGATTTTCATTTTCGACTTTTTAACGGTTTTACTTCTGTGAAATTTTGACGTGACATGATTGAGTTATTTGACAGATGATTTACATTTTTCTGCGAGAGCCAGTGTCAGACAGAGTATACTTTGATGTTGCTGTTGTTTATTCACATAATAGTTCACACACGTATGAAAAGTTTGTAATGCATTATTGCAGCATGTGACTAGCGTCTGGACGTATTTTTGGGAGACAAAATAAGTCATGACTGTTAACAAACAAATACGTTACACGAATATATCTTAGGAATCAGAGCCAAAGATGTAAAATTAAATAAGTAAGAGATTTCAAAAAATTATGCCGCTGACCGCTTACGCCAAGAAGTTTAAGCGAAGAAAATTTAGACCATTTTTCTTGAGACCTGGCTAAGAATTTTTACAATAAAAGAGTTAAACTAGATAAATAGTTAAGTATTATAATTTTGACTTATTATTAGGTGGTATACTATCTAACACTAATACTCTTTTATTAAATTAGTTGTGAATGAACTTTTTGTTTATATGTTACATGAAATTTTACAATGTGATTTAGTAATTTTGTGATAAAGTTTTAGAAGTTCACTAAATGTTGTAACAATAAACATAATGATCAACTGTGGCAGGGCCAACAGCTTCGGCTGTTGCACGAATGAGCAGGTCCGTCTGGGTCGGTACCACGACCTCACAGAAGATCGGCGTGAAGTGAAAATGTCATATTTTGCGTTTCGTTTGAGTACGGTACGCGGGGCCAACTTTATTATAAGGTGGCACGCATCTGCAACCCTACGGGTATTGCAAATGTCCATGGGCCGAATAGAAGCCATAGAGCCGAAAGAAATTCAGGAATTTTTGGGACAATCATAAACAGCTCAATACTTTGTGCGATTTTACCTAAAAGTACTGTGATAAGGTCATTTTGAAAGAAGTCGTTAAAAAAATCATGAAAAATTTCCACAAAAAACGACAACACTTCTTTTTCTGTTTATACAAATAGAGTGAATAATTATTTTTTCACTAATTTATATGTGACATTTATTCGTAGTTATAAAGGAAAACATGATCTTAGACCTGAGTTTCAATTATAACACTAATATCTTTATATATGTCGAAGATGCATTGTTCTCGTTGACATCGCCGATAGTGATTGCTTTCTTAGTGGGCGTCATCAGGGTAAAATGCGAGCACAAACACAATGATTAGATACTAATTTCTTGTATTTACGCGATTACTCATTATAAATGAAACTAATTTTACGGATTTATCGCGTTAATTTTAATTTTAGTTCCCGACGTTTCGAACCCTTTACAGCGTTCATGGTCACGGGACAGACTGAGGTGTCATGTCCAAAACCCCCTAAATTGTATGGGTTGCCTAAAATACACAAACCAGACTTTCCATTACGCCCTATTGTAAGCCAGATCGACTCACCAACTTACAGACTGGCTCAACATCTAGTACAAATTCTCTCACCGCTGGGGAACACACACGGGCATACACAAAGGATTCTTACCATTTTGTTAGTGAAATAAAACAACTATGTCTTGCTGACAATGAAACAATGGTCAGTTTTGATGTACAGTCTTTATTTACATGCCTACCATTAGAAGACTGCATCTCAATTGTAACAAGGAAGCTAAAAGAGAAGAACATGCCGGAAGAGTATGCATTACTACTTAAACATTGCCTAACATCCGGCTATTTGCTTTGGAAGGAGGAATTTTACATACAAATAGATGGTGTAGCAATGGGCTGCCCAGTATCTCCCATTGTCGCTGACATATTTATGGAAGACTTTGAGGAGAAGGCCCTTCGCACAGCTCCCATTTATCCAAGATTTTATAAGAGGTATGTAGATGACACCTTCACCATTTTACCAACAAGTAAAGTTAATGCATTTTTAAATCACCTTAACTCAGTAAATTCCAAAATACAATTCACTATGGAATTAGAGAATAATAACTCTTTAGCTTTCTTAGATGTTTTGGTCATCCGCAATCCAAATAACACTATAAGTCACACTGTGTATAGGAAGGCAACCCATACAAATAGATACCTAAACGGTGACTCTCACCACCATCCGTCCAGTTAGCTACCGTGGGTAAATCTTTGTTTCAGAGAGCACAAGGGATCTGTGACAAACAACACCTGGCCGCTGAGCTTCAACATGTCAAGCAAGTTCTGCATGACAACAAAACTTCGAGCACCGCGCCTACGTCACAGTGACCGTGTGAAAACCAGCCACAGTGGAGCGAGTACCTGCTGTTCTACCATATGTCCGAGGCGTCACCGACGAGGTTGGGCTATATCTTAAAGCGGGCTTCAATTAATACATTCTACAAGCCGCTGAAGAAGATTAGTCAGTTTTTACCATCTGTCAAGTGTAATATCCCTCTGCAAAATCCAGGAGTGTACAAACTTGACTGTGAATGTGGGCTCTCTTACATTGGACAAACGAAAAGAGCTATAAAAACCCGCGTGAAAGAACATATAGCTGACATAAAACATAGTAGATTAAACAAGTTTGCAGCTTGTGAGCACACTCTAAATCGGCCCAACCACTACATCAGGTTTGATAAACCACAGATCCTTGCAAAAGAACACCGATTCCTCCCAAGATTGATTCGCGAGGCTATTGAAATTAAAAAACACCCTAATTTCAATAGAGAAGAGTGTTGGGTACTACCATCAGCTTGGGATCCTATCATCAATAAAATTAAATCTAAGCCCAAAAGAACCACTACTGCAAGACAAGATACAATTAGCTCCCTCTGCACAGATCGGACACAAAATCAATAATACAAAAACTGACGGTAGCCCGGGTTAACTTTGACAATCAGACGTCTAACACCTCAGTCTGTCCCGTGACCATGAACGCTGTAAAGGGTTCGAAACTTCGGGAACTAAAATTAAAAATAAACGCGATAAATCCGTAAAGTTACTTTAATTTACAATGATTAGAGTTTTGTATTATTTTAATTTAGATTAAACAATGTTTTGTAACTTTAAAACAATGTCGAAAGGAAAACTGATAATTAAAACCGAGCAGCGGGTTCAGAGCACCAATCTTACTTTAACTTACAAATAAACTCTCAACGATCCAACTCGATCAATCGCTATCACTACGATATTGGCTAAGACCATTATATTGGCTATCACTCAAACGCACAGAACACTTTTACTCAAATGTGTCTCCCGAAACCTAACGCTCCCTTAGTCAAGATGGCGCCTCGACCCCACTCGAGGGGTCTTCAGATGCACTCAATCAGAGCAGAGCACATGGCTCTGCTCTGATTGGTCGTTACGTGGTTTACAATATTCGTAACTTTTATTTAATTACTAAGATTTTAAGGTAATGTAAAAATGTAACAAATCAAATAAAATAAAATAAAATAAAGATTTTTTAAAAATGATAGAAAAATAAACACATAATTTTATGGATTATACATGCAAACATACCGACACATAGCTTCCCCCGACATATATATATATATATATATATATATATATATTCTTCTGAACGTGTGTATGTCACAGAACTCCTCCTAAAGGGCTGGACCGATTTTAATTTTTTGTGTGTCTTCAGGTCGATTCGAGAATGGTTTAGATTCACAATTCGTTTTTTTTTTGTTTTTTTTTTTTTTTTTTATTTATAAGCTGTCAGATTTAAGTCGTGCGAACAGTTCAACTTGCTGAGGGTAGTGACCTGTGTGTTAGAGAATTTTCCGTCGGACTATGTCACGCCACGTTGATCTGTCCACGTGGTATTCAATGCGGAGCGACTTTGGTCTGACCAATGCATGGGAACGAAACGAAATCGACTCCTCGGTCTTTTGTATTCCAACTTCCCAGTCATCATCAATTTTTCGATGTTGTCACCACGCTTGGAGCAGACACGTGGTTTATGAGAAACGCGGGTAGATGCATTCTAGACGTGGTGTTGGAGAAAAATGCTAAGAATTTATTACTCTGAATACCGGATGAATGAATATATATAAACAGCACTACATATAAACGAAAAATGCTAAGAATTCATTATTCAGAACACCACATCAATGAATGTATATAAACAGCACTACAAATCAAAGAAACCACAAGACCTGTCTTAGAAGAATCTTCGACTTCTTTGGGCACATAGTGCGCAACAGTGGTGACAATATCGTTCACATAGTATAGTAGCATAGTAGAGTCATTCATTAATGAGCCAGAGCCATTCATTAAAAACCAGAGCATAGTCGTGGCATGTTTTTTTGGGTCTTCACATAAATCCTTCTGCTGACAGTTCAACATATCAATCTGAATATTATCAAAACTATAGTGATTGGTTTCCCCACGCACGATTTATTTGTGAAATCAGTTGTCGTCAACGGTTTAACGACTTCTTTGTTATAACGAACGTTCACCGCATATATGGGTAAGGATAGACAAATAGTCCCAGTCTATGTGCATATTCCATATGCTCGCTCAGTAAGTTTATCAATATCGATAGCTTAGTGATAAGAGCACATATCAGGCAATATGGAATAGCTGTTTAGTTTAGTTATTTTTTAATGTCTAAAGGCAATCTGTTCTCCATTTCCATTCGACTAAACGTTTCTGATTTATTCTCGCTCTAAGCGAACCAATTCCGCTCGTCTCATACACTGACCCACATACTGAATCCAGGCCGTTCGTCGGTATTCCGAGAGACGCTCGGTAAATTCTTCAACGGCTGTCGCTTCCCCAGCGTCTTTAAAATCACTTGTAAATTATTTTAATTTATCTAAATACAACAGAACACAATACGAAAGTACTCAAAAATATTGTACAATATTTGTGCGGTTCTATTTTACTATAATACAATGCTTTACAACTAAAACAAAATTGAGTAATATATTGAATAATAGCATGCAGGGCGTCTGTTTTTTTTTTTATTTGGATCTCATCGTTTTAAA